CTGGTCTCCCTTTTAGAGGCTTTGACACCAAGCTTATGCAAAGTGGAAGGTTCACTGTCATCAATTGGCGTCCTCCTTAACTATGAAACATGATTTGCTTTATACAAGACTCTTTACTACATTATCCATGGGAAGAAAGAAATTTGAGAGAAATAGTGAGAAAACATCTCCAAAGAGAGAGAAATGAGCCACTTCTGGCCATAGGGTCAGTCAATGTTCCAGCAGCCGCCAATCCACTTAAAATTGTGGTACCGACTGGGCAACGGACTCATGCATAGTCTCACCAAAGAACTGAAGGAAAAGCTTGAGCAAAAACAAAGGAAAGAGGTGGAAAATTATTAATTCAAAAACCCTATAAAGTAGTGGTGTCAATCACAACCCAATTATATTGACTCGCCCAAACCCGCCCGCCAATAACCCACCCAAACCTGTCCATTAATTTTTGATGGGTCTAAATGGGTACCCAATTAAACCCATTTAATTGGTGGGTAGTAAGTTGATTCAACTCACCCATTTAAAAATAATTATACATTTAAACTCAAATTGTAGCGAGTGTTCAGCAAACAAATTTGAATTGCTTACCAATTTAATAACAATAAAATATCATTATTTCTTGTCCAATAACATGCAAAAAAATTAGAAAAAAAAAAGCAGAATTTAAGTGACTTATAAATGAGTAATTGGGTATACCCATACCCATTTATTAAATAGGTATAAAGGGGTTGACCCAATTATACCCATTACCCAACTATGATCTGGCAAAAATCTTCTTGCAAACGCAGGAAGAAATTTGTTTACCTCTGCACCTGGACAATCATAAGATCGCCAAGAACAAAGAAGCCATAAAATAGCATTCGCAATCCAAATAACTCATTAATTGACTTTTTATGCCCAAAACATACAGTCTATTTTCTACCGTTCAAATATCCTGCGACACAATTTTATATGTCCATTACCTTCATTATTTTTGCAGTGCAAGAAGTTTCAACGTTTCCTCTCACTTAATCAAAGTATCTCTGGCAATTGTAACATCACAAGCCTTAATGCACATGACTTTGTCAAAAAAATAAATCATATCAGACTATTTTTCAACAACCATCTACATGAAAAACATATATTACCCATCAGACGTATAAGGAAAACTTGCCCAAGCCAGAACAAAAGCCTCTTTTGGCAGAAACATACAACATATATACCATAATTTTGTAAAAAGTAAAGTCACATCATTTTACAGCGTGTGCTGCCTTTACCTGCTTCAGAAAGTTGAAATTTCAGCCTGGCTTTGATTTTTTCTGCTGGTGTCTGTTAAAGTAAATAAAAAAACTCTCATCAAACTAGGGTAACATTAATCAGATTAACATGAAAAGGCAACATCACAATGGCCAATACAACAAAGTTAAGGAAGTGCTTGTTTAGTGCTTATGGCTGGTAATTATCAAAGAATGGATCAAACTATCATTTATTACAACAAAGACTCTTTTGAAGCAAAGCTATCGTTTATTACAACAAAGAAAACAAAATATAGACACTAAAATACTGTGTAAAATATATTCTTATGGGATAGATAGTATCTTCACTTTAGACAGCATCTACTTTTCTCCAGCAGCAACTGAAAAGATGGCTCTTTTTAGTTGATTTTCAGGGAGAAGATTTAAGCTCTTCGATGTTTAAAGTTGAATAATCGACCGTAGCTACAACCTCAGGAATCAACTGAAAGACATGTAGATATCCCAAACAAGTTCCTGGTGAATTGCAGATGCACTATACTATGTACATTGGCAAAGCCCCAAATTCAATGGGCAAATCACATACACACGCCATCTAAATGGTTACTTCAACCTCTATCAGGGACCATTAACACAACTCATTTTATATTCACTGGGAATTCCTCAAGCAATAGGCACCAAAACGATCTTCCTTCCCCCACCCCATCTCCCAAGGAGAAAAACAGAATGGCATATCTTGAGGTAAAGCAGCAAAATTTCAGCCCAAAGAACAAGAAAATCACGAAACAGATTAACAAACCAAGCTTTAGGACATGCTTAGTTTCTGCATTCTATAACACTGATGAATTTTCAACGAAATTAAAACAGGTACGAAGAGTAGACACTTGCAGACAAGTTTGGGAAAGTAATCTTTCGAAATCCTAACAAATACATACCATTTTGTCATAACCTTCAATGGTTTCCGCATAATCAACCCTGCCATCATTGTTTCTCTCTTTCTCCACCTTTCTAGTAGTACTATTCTGCGAAGATTTTCTCTGCGTCGGCGACTCACTCCTTGAACTCCTCCCACGCCCCCTCTCCCTCTCCCTACTTCTACTTCTATACCCACGCCTTCGCATTCGATAATCATCTCGGCTGCCACTCCTGCTCCGGCGCTTCGAATGCCTTTCGCGATTTCTGCTCGGGCTTCGGCTCCGGCGCCTTGAGTGCCTTTCCCTTTCCCCACTCCAGCTGCGACAACTTGAGTGGCTACTGTCTCTATCTCTGTCTCTTGAAACCTCCCTGGTCGAAGCTATTAGGTTTTGGGGTTGGTGGGGCGTTTTTTTGAGCTTGTTCTGGATGGATTCAAGTTGAGCCTGCTTATCGAGCTCACCGGTTTTCGAAGGGCTCGAGGCTTTAACGAATGTGCTAAGAAAAGATGATGATGATGATGAAAAGGAGGGAAGACCTGAGCCTCGGGAAGGAACGGCCTCCCTGTGTGATGTGGGAGAGAAACCAAGGCCTTGTTTGAACCTAGCGGCTCCTTCTCCCTTACGGGTCAACTCATCATATAAAGCTGCAGCTTTTTCTTCCTCCATTTTCCGGCAATGCTCCGCGGCGGTGTTGTGTCCCTAGACGGATTCAAATAGCTTTGTACTCGTGCGGACTTACCGGGTGCTCAAAGCTGATTCAGGGAAGATTGGGCTGACATCCTGAATTGGAGCCCAAAGCTCCCCATTTTGGGCTCCAACTGAAGGGGTCATTGGCCTGTAAAGTTATTTTTTAAAAAAATAAAACAGAAACCAATATTATTATTCCCTCCGTCCCACTTTGATAGTTCTGTTTCTTTTTTCATACAGTTTAAAAAAAAGTAATTAACTTTATTAGAAAAATAAATTTAGATTGCTATTTTTCTAAAATACCCTCACATTAAATATGGTACAATTTTATGAAAAAAAGAATCAACTCTCATTAAATGGAGTAGGTTTATAGTAACAACTACTTACATTGAATAAGGGTATTTTAGAAAAATTAAAATACAACTACATTCTTCAATTAGAAAGTGGACTACAATTTGGGACAAATGAAAAAGGAATACAGGACTATTAAAGTGGGACGGACGGAGTAATAAACTAGATAGCAATTGTCCATTTTTACCTTTCCAATAAAATTGAGCCACCAATATAATGTCTGCTGACATTTTCCTTCTAACCTAGCAAATATTTTTCGGTACATCTTTTAGCATTTGTAATTGCACGAAATAACTAATTGTGCACAGGATAATGTTAAATTATTTTCATTCTTCAACAATTTGTTAATACATTTAATTTAAATATATTAATACTTCACTCCTAAAACTATTGCGTTTCCTCTATAGCAATGTACAAAATTGCCGTTATACAACTAATTTAATTGGATCACTGTCACCAAATCACAATTTATAAATAATCATACTACACTACAGGATGTTATTACTCTTACAATAACATAATCATGGTTATTCACAAAACAGAAATTATTTATTAATTTATCCACAAAACTAAAAGTTTAATTAAGTAACACAATCATTTATCCACAAAACTAATACAATAATCATGTTTAAAATTTATTTGTCCACAAAGCTAACATAATAATCATATTTAAAAATTCAAGTAAGTAACATAATTACACAAAACTAAAAATTATCTATTACTTTAATATGCAACGATATTTATTAGTGTAAGTGAGTTAATTACTTGCCTCTAAAGATGCTACCACTAAGCCAGCAAAATCCTTTGAAATCTACTCAGCAGAGTTTGGTGCCGACACTGGCTGCAAAATACATAATAATATTATTATAATTAATTTTATTAGATAATGAAAGTAATGATATTTTAATAATTCAATTATCTCATCGGAAACAACGGAAAGTGAGAGAGAATTGCGAGGATAAGACATAAAAATGGATTGAAAAAAAAAACTGGATCAGTCGCCGGATAACGTTGTGCAATGACTGAGACATAAAAAAGGAAGAGTCTGTCACATGGGTTTATAAAAAAGGTGTAAGACTTGAAAATACACTTGAAAAAAATACACAATCATCACATAGGCCTATTTCGATGAGGTTAAGATTAGAAAATCCTACCAAAGGATTAAAAAAGGATGGATTAGCTGTGCTTTGAGAGTGTTTTTTAAAAAATTTTATTGTAACAGTGTATATAAAAAAAAAATTTACTATAAATTTTTTTTTATATATTTGTTATAATATACGAACGAGATATTTTTTTAATTATTATGTATTACTGTAACTTTATATTTAAAAAACTTTGAGTCCACAGAAAACACTTCGAGGACCTCAAAGTCTAAATTAAAAAGATTAGGGACAAACTCTGTCATTTGCCCAACTGTGGGAGTAGTGGGTTCCGACACCGGCGAAAACAAAGAAGGTGCAAATTGAACAAGATAGCAGTTCTCTGCTCTTAAGTGCGACCAAATTGAAGATGTCATCCTACCAAAATATATAGGGAAAAAGGCAAGTGAATAAGTTAAGTTGACAAAGCCAGATTAAAAACTCACACCAACCGTCTGACACTTTCCCGGCACAAGAAGGAATTAGTATTTTGTTAATTCACTGGACAAAGACATTGAAGACCTTACACTAGCCAATTTAAAAAAATCAACTACCCTCTTTGAAACTGTCAACACGAAATAGGTATATGCACTTGAGGATAAACATTCATCGGCAGGAAAGACACGAGTTTTTGTTACGATCCCTTTCCAATTCTCAAGATGATATGCGTCTTCCCATGTCCTCCTCCTTGGCTAGAGTGACTTTTTTTTTTTTTTTTAAAACTTGATCAGCCATGTCACAAAATCGAGTAGTTGCTACTGCTGTTGCAGCCACGGCTGCGAGCACCTTACTCGTTGCAGGAATTTTATTCTACTTCGTCTACAGATTCACCGTGGCTCGGCAGCGTGAGAGGGACAAGCAGCACAATTCGAGTTTCCGCAGAGAGATGACGCCGTCGGTGGCGGTGACACATGAAGAGTTTATGCAAAATGGTGGAATTCTTAGAGGACTAATAGTTGATGAGAATGGAAGGGATGTTCTTTATTTGAGAAAAGCTCAAGGCGGAAGGTTTACAAGTTGTTTTTCCAAGGTTTGGTTCAATCCCATAAATGAAGAAGAGGAAAAGGAAATGGATGGCAGGGAACTCAAGCCCAGCAGCAATAGTATTGGTAGTCCTGTCCCGGAAATTCCCTTGCTCCCACGGGCATCATCACACCATCACAATTATCATCATGATGCATTTGACATCCCCGGTGATCATCAGGCAGTTACGCTGATGGATCATCCACCAAAGCAAACTTCAGGCCTGTTACATTTTACACCACCACCTCCACCACTAGTCATTCCCCCGAAGCAAAGCCCTCCACCACCACCTCTGCTCGTCAGAAAGACCGCGTCCTTGAACCCGTCCACGCCTCAACCTCCCCCTCCTCCGCCACTTCCGGCAAAAGGAGTTCCGAAACCACCAAACAGATTTTCAAAACCACCAGCAGTTCCATCCAAAATGAAACCAGCTGGATCACTGCCTCTTCCACCCAAGCACGGTAAAGGTGATGCTTCTTATCGTCAGACCAAACTGAAGCCACTGTACTGGGATAAAGTGCCTACAAATACTGATCACTCCATGGTTTGGCATGAGATCACCGATGGATCTTTCCGGTAAGTTCATTCATGTACTACTAAATATATACAGTGAGATTTAACTACTAGTATCATCAAGTCGAAAATTTCGGTATTTCCATCATAGATCTCCTCTTTGGCTCTCGATGGATATATGTCGAGTCACCTTTGCTAACTCTTTTGCATTTCAAAGGTTTGACCTTATGGAAGCTCTCTTTGGATATGCCGCCCAAAACCAGAAACCCACAGAGGAAAGGAGTATTTCCTCTTCAAATTCATCCACGGCTTCTAGTCCAGCTCCACCTGCTCAAGTTTTCATCCTTGATCCTAGGAAGTCGCAGAACACAGCGATTGTACTTAAATCTTTAGCCATCTCTAGGAAAGAAATCCTGGATGCTCTCCAGGAGGGTCATGGACTGAGTGCTGACGATCTTGAAAAGCTAAGCAAGATTTCGCCAACTCCTGAAGAAGCAGCCAAAATCCTTCAATTCGACGGGAACCCCACAAAGCTTGCAGATGCCGAGTCTTTTCTCTACCACATCCTCAAATCTATTCCCTCGGCTTTTATCCGTCTCAATGCGATGCTTTTCAGGTCAAGTTACGATCCTGATATCCTTCATCTCAAGGAGTCTCTGCAAACACTTGAATTGAGCTGTAAAGAGTTAAGAACTCGAGGAATTTTCCTCAAACTTCTGGAAGCCATTCTAAAGGCTGGCAACCGAATGAACGCTGGAACTGCCAGGGGAAACGCTCAGGGTTTCAAGCTCAGCGCCCTCCAAAAACTTTCCTACGTGAAGAGTACTGATGGAAAGACTACTCTGCTTCATTTTGTGGTCGAACAGGTGATTCGTTCCGAGGGCAAACGCTGTGCCAATAATACCCGAAATCATGAAATCAGCGGCAAAGGTGATGAATGTTGGGATAGCAAGACTACCAAAGAAGACGTAGATAAAGAGTACCTAATGCTTGGATTACCAATAGTTGAAGGCTTAAGTATGGAGCTCTCAAATGTAAAGAAAGCAGCCACCACAGAATATGAGAATTTCATGGGTATGTGTCCTGCTCTCACGATGAGGATCCATGACATCCGGCAGCTAGTTTCACGCTGTGGAAGCAGTAACGAAAGAAGTGGATTTGTGAGGGAAATGAAAGGGTTCCTAGAGGAATGCGAGGAGGAGCTTAAGGTGGTAAGAGAGGAACAAGCAAGGGTGATGCAGCTTGTTAAAAGAACCACAGAATATTACCAAGCTGGAGCTTCAATAGACAAAGGGACAGATCCATTTCAATTGTTTGGCATTGTGAAGGACTTCTTGGCCATGGTTGATCGAGTTTGTATCGACATTTCGAAGAAACTTCAGAAGAAACCATGGCCTACTGCGATTACAAGTGCAGGATCCCTGCCTTTATCACCATTAGCACTATCCCCAAAGACTCCAGTCAAGCTCCAAAACTTGCAGTCACATTTTGTGTCACAGGAGACTGGGACGTTATCGAGTGAATCAGAAGATGATTTCTGACAATCTTCAGTAATGACTAATGACGTTTATGTACAAAATTTGATAGTGCACAGAATGTGGAATAGGAGAAATCAAAGTAGACATACTGAAAATTGAGGAGTTTTTTCAGGGTAGCCCGTTCAAGGATCATTAAGATGGAGCATTTTGATTTTGGAGAAAATTCAATTAAATGACTATCTTCTTTCTCCAGATAATTCACAAGGATAGCCTTAGGAGTTACGACAAAAAAATTGCAGGACATGTTTAATAAAAGGCATAATTTTAGAAACCTCCTTTGAGATTTCTAACTATTGCAAGTAGCTCCCCTTTAGTTTAAAAAATCACACCTATCACCTCTATTATTAGCATTTCAGTAATAACATATACCCAATATGCTAAATTTGTCCTCAAAATTCCTAAAATACCCCTTTGTTAGGGGTGGAAGGGGGAGGGAACTCACTCATGAATTTCTTTCATGCTGTAACTATTGCAAACAGTGTAACTATCATCCTAACGAATTCAACAAACCAGTTCAACTTAATTCCCATTTTCTCACAATTTTGTTTGGCCCAAATTTAGCATTTCAATTGACCAATGTCACCATCCAAACTCCAATCCAAATGGCTGCAACCTTCCTAATGCTAACATAATCTAACCTATCAAGAATACCAACACGGAGCAACCAAAAGCAATATTAGAGACCACATCCATATCTTTGGTTGGAAAGAGAAGGTAGGAGAGAGAGTTGGAGAGAGATGGTAGGAAAAAGAGTCGGAAAGAGAGGAGAAGAGTCTGTTATGAAAGATTGGTTGAAGTTGTAAGGTCTTTTTGGTTTGTAGAAATTATACATAAATGAAGGATATTACAGTCATTTTATTGCATGAAGAGAAATTAGTATAATTATTCAAATTTGAAGGGAGCTGAGTGAAATTGTAGAAATCTCAAGGGAGGTTCCTTAAATTTTCCCTTAATAAAAAGCATATGACCCCTTAAAAAGCCTATGACCCCTTCTCCGGTTAAACTTGATTCTCCAAATAACGTTACAATAAATGTCCCGTAGTACTGCAAAATCTAGATACCACACAAGAGGGATGGCAAAGGACAATTTAACACATAAGAATAAGAAATCAATCCATCATAAAAGCACTCATGTTTCACATATTTCTCTTTATAGAAGGACAAGAATAACACGAGGATAAAGAGAAAAAAGAAATCCTTGCACAACTCGCATGAGTGATAATTCACATCTTTTCAGGATTAACATACCTATTCAATATTCCCTTATCCATAACTTAGTGGGTAGACCTATTATTCTTTTCTTAATAGACTAGTTGAACTGGGGCCTGACACTTGTGTGTCAGGTTGCCCAGGCTATCTTTTGGCTCGTTATGACTGGTGTTAATCAGCTGTTTGCATTAGTTTGTCTTTAGGGTGAATCAATTAATAACATAAAACATTGCTGCAGATTTTTTTTTTTTTTAGATAAAACATTGCTGCAGATTGGATACAACAAATTTTAGCTTGTGTTTCTCTTCAAGATGAATCAATTAATAACACAAAAATTCGCTGTAGATTGCATACAATAGAAGCATTTTTTTTTATTTATTTATATACTGCTGTATATTTATACGTGTATATACAAGGGGAGTATTGGTGAACGAGTATGAGACAGCCCAGATTATTGTATTTCTGCACTTCACAGATAATAGATTGCACTACAGCAAGATGATACACGCTAATCCAGTTACCCACTTGATAATTATTGTACTTCTGCCATGACTAAAGCCAAACAAAAGATCTTCCTTTGAAGTTGCTTTTCGCCATTCTCAACCAACCACTGGAATGCATCCAGCCAGGCCACATTGCACGCAAGTGGCAAGCACAAACCGCATGACATTCACATACACTATCTTTCCATAAGACTGTAATTTGTAATTAAAAGAAAAACAAAAGGAAAACAATATCCAAAAAGTGAACAGAACACCAACTGTTCAAACTACAAAAGGAACAACTAATCCTTCAACATGCTTTCTCTTTTAACTCTCAGAGACATTCCACCCAACTTTCCAGCAATGATTCAACCATAATCAAGCAAATACAATTGACTATTCAATTTCAAGTACTTTACATACAGCCAAAACTTCCTAAATTAGCACAAAGAAGATCCACAGAAAGTTCTGATAGTCATATTAAGAAAACAATCAACAATAACATGAACAATGATAAATGACCATGAAGAAACTACAGACCACAAAATTAATTGACTTGATTTCCAAAATTAGAAATTCAAAACCCTCCTGAATATGCTACCCAAGTAATTCAAAGAATCGTGTTAAGCTAATTGTTTCAATTCATTGCACCAGCATTCATCCTGAACATTCTACTTGATTAAATCAAACAAGAACACGATGGATCCTTTGTACCTAAATTTCTAAACCAAGCACAGAAAACTAAAGGAGCTCCAGTCACATAGAACCTCTACCCCAAGCAAAAACTCAAGATTGACAAGTGAACAAAAGTGGCAAGCAAATTGCAACAGAAATCACTAAATTTATAAAACAAGAAATGAATTCAACAACATTCAGTTAGCATCTCCAATACCTCCATTAAAGTGAGGAAAGGCTGCGGGCAGCATCCTGAACCGGCTATTTAGCATCTCCACGTCTCTGAACAAAGGCATTGAAATGAAGCTTCAATTGCTCACAAGAAGGTACAGCCACCGAGGCAGAGCAACCTACGAAATTCTAATATCATGATCTTTCAACAGATCTAAGCATACATAGAAGTAACTTCATAAGCTCTTTCTGGAAGCTTCTAGAAGTTGGAGAAGCCATCCACGCCCTAACAACTTGATTTCCGTAAAAAAATAAAAAAAAATTGCCGGCAACAGAGCTTGAGATAACTGATCAAAAATTTGGAGAGAATGGAGGAGCAGAAAACCAACGAAGAAGGAAAAGAAGAGAATGGAGAACCGGTAACAGTCGATCGTTTGTGGATCTGCAGAGAAACCAACGGGGATTAAAATTGAAACTCGAGACACCAACAAGAAAATTTTAATTTTTTCCATCACATGTTTATTATTCTCAACATGAAGAAGGGGGAAAAACTGTCACCTCATCAATCGAAACAAAAAATTCTCACCAAAATAGTGCCGTCATTTTTTCCCAGGGTTAAAAAGACAATGAAAACCCTCGTCCACAAAATGTGAGGCCCGCCCACAACTCAAGGGCATCTTCGTCTTTTCACAACAGCCAACAATAATTCGCCCCTCTTGCTGCAAATTCAATTCTCCACTATTTCCTTGTTAGCTGTTGTTGTTGTCCCGTTTCAAGTGGTATTGGAAATTAGGAAAAGCAGCCTTGGCAGATCGATTGGTTCGCGGAAAATAATTAGTCAAATTAGAACAACTTCTTCGAAACTTCCTATTGCTCTCTATTCTAATTAGCCTTGGCAGTTTCTATGCCAAGTCAAGCAAGAAGGTGAACTCTAATAAAGAGGCATATATTTGGCGGTGGCGCTGGTAGTTAGTTAGGAGACACAGCAGAAGCAGAAGCAGAAGATGGCGCTGGGTGATACTATCGGACTTAAGGAAGAGCTGATCAAAAAAGCTTGTAATTTAGCCATGAAGGCTCATCTCAAGTCGCCTGAGAAGGCGTATATCTGGGAAAAGACGACGCGCAGCTCAACAGAAGCAGTCTGCGCCTTTCCTGGAACGTGGGCCGTGACTGATTGGTACAGTAGAACGCCTTTTGGGGCAACCAAGATCAATATTGCCTTATTTCCGTCTCTCAAGAGTATTGGCATGGATGAGCTAGCTCTAGTAAATGAAGCTTTCTCTTCCAGATTTGAACAACTTTTATGCAATTCGCAGCTGGAGAGGGAGGTAATTCATCAGATTATGTTTGCTTTTTTTTTTTTTTTTGCTACTGCTGTCTTTTTGGCAGATCAATTAGCTTTCACTACCGTTAACTGTCTTTGCTTTTAGCACGGATATATCAGTAGACTCGATTTCCTTTGTTGACCAGTAAAAAAAAAAAAAAAAAAAAACTGTTCAGGTGGAAAAAGCATTGTCGGACAGAAAGCAGATAGTGTTCGCCGGACACTCCTCAGGTGGTCCAATTGCCTCACTAGCGACCATCTGGTTTTTGGAGAAATACGTAAGGACTAACAATTACCAGAAACCGCCTTACTGCGTGACTTTTGGATCCCCCCTTGCTGGAGACGGAATTTTTTCGCATGCTCTCAGACGAGAAAATTGGGCTCGCTATTTTATACATTTTGTCACGAGGCATGACATTGTGCCTCGCGTCATGTTTTCTCCTCTTTCATCCATTGAAGCAGGGATGCAGCAAATCCTCCTCTACACAAGTTCAAAATCCCCATATTTTCAGAATGAATCCATTGGAAATTCCAGTGCTGCAACATCCTGTTTTATGGTTGTCATGAGAAATGCATCGGCTGTAGCTAGCCATGCTGCTTGTCACCTCATGGGATGCACAAATTTGTTGTTGGAAACTGTGTCCAGCTTTATTGAACTCAGTCCATATAGACCTTTTGGCACCTATATCTTCTGCACTGCAAATGGAAAATCAGTTATCCTTCAGAATCCAGATGCAATCCTGCAGCTGCTGTTTTATTCGGCTCAGCTAAGCTCTGAAACGGAAATTGCGCACGTTGTTTATAGAAGCTTAAACGACAATTTGAGCTACGAAAATCATTTACAGGATTGCTTAGAAATGCAAAATGTTGCTCATTTGAACAATCTTGTGGAACTTCCTTTGTCTTCACATGCCAACACAAATAATGAAGCAGCAAAATTGAACACTGTTTTGAACGATCTCGGCCTGGTAAGGAATACTTTCTTCAGCATTCAGCTCATCTTACAATTTCGTGTAACCTGGATTACTTATTTTGAGCTAAATTTCACGTGCTTCTTCAAATTCTAGAGTTCAAGAGCAAGGTTGTGTCTTCGTGCTGCTGGGGAGTTGGAGAGGCAGAAAATACAAAACCAAGTCAATATTGATTCCAACAGGGATAGCATACGAAAAGGACTAAACGAGATACAAGCGTACCAGACCAAATGTGAAGTGCGCAAGGTAGGTTATTATGATGCCTTTAAGCTTCAGAAAGACATAAACGACTTCAATGCAAATGTCAAGAGACTGGAGTTAGCGGGAATATGGGATGAAATCATTGAAATGTTAAAAAGATATGAACTTCCGGATGGATTTGAGGCTAGGAAAGAGTGGATAGAACTTGGAACCATGTTTAGGCGGTTGGTTGAACCTCTGGACATTGCCAACTACTATAGACACTTAAAGAATGAAGACACAGGACCTTACATGATAAGGGCTAGGCCAAAACGTTATAGATTTACACAAAGATGGCTTGAACATGCTGAGAAAATGCAAGCAGGATCGAGCTCAGAGTCATGTTTCTGGGCTGAAGTGGAGGAACTCAGAGCAAAGCCATTTGAAGAAATGAAGGAGAAGGTTGTCAGCTTGGAGAGACGAACATTGAAGTGGATACACGACGGGCATCTAAGTTCAGATGTTCTCTTTGATGAATCAACCTTTTGCAAATGGTGGAGATATCTTCCTCCCAAACATCAATCTGAATCTTGCATTGCAAGGTTGATGAACAAGTTTTAGAGAAGCCTTGTTCCTGCTTTGGCTTTCATCTTCTGCATTGTAACAAGTTAAGAAGCAGTTCAGAAGTTTTTCTTCTTGTTCCGCGTGGCATCCAGAAGTACATTATCCCAAAAAAGTGACATGTCTTGGTACTTCAATATTTTGACAAATGTTAACTTTTAATATTTTTTGAAACCATGGATCTAATATTTGTCAGAAAGCTTTTTGAGCTTTTTAGATTCTATATTGATACCCATAATGTAAGTACACTATGGCTTTTGTGGTTTTGCTGTGGATGGAGGTTAGTAAATTATCGTAAAAGTCCTTAGGCTTTGGTAAAAAAAAAAAAAAGTACACTAAAAATCACAATATTATAAGTTTTTGGGATAATTTCAGAAACCTCCCCTGAGGTTTTTGACAGTCTCACTCACCTCCCCTGAACTTTGCAAAATATCAGATACCTCTCTTGTCAGATTATTGGGCCTTATTTGTGATATCATTGATGATGAATTGACAGATATACCCTTATAACTTATGATATATTTTGAAGCTATTTTGACAGAATTAGTTAAATGAATAATAGATATATAACTTTTTGATATAACTTATGATATACTTTCTATTCCACTTTACACTTTTTATTCGTAGTACAATCACCAATGAATAGTTTAGCACTAGTGTTACCTTTCTCTAAAGTCATGTATTTCATGTTTTTTTTTTGTAAGACAATTATCTAGTGTAACTCATTACTTATATTTGGGTAAATTTGGTTTTCAAAAATTCAATGACGTAAATTGTATATTACATCATCTCATAAAGTGTTGCGACACAATTTGGATTATTGAATTATTTGAAAATTGGATCTACTTAAGTTCTGGTATTCAAACGAAGCTTGTTGAATAAATTCGACTGACTACAATGTGAACTAATTTTTTTTTTTTTTAAATCTCAACTAAAGTATCTAGCACTAAATGAAATGAAGTATCTTGCTACTTCATTTCATTTTCCACAGAGAAATTTGCAAAAAGAGTTATTAAACTATTGAGAATTTGGTTATTTGATCGTTATACTATTTATTTAACTGCAATTGCCATTCACTCAATTAACCAAATAGTGAAATTTTTTTTGTGACTTAACTAGTAAAAATTTATACTTTTAATCACTCAAATATTATTTTTTTATGACTTAACTAATAAAATTTATACTTTTAATCACTCAAATTATAAAACTATACATTTTTTTATATCACCAGAAGTATGTTTCAATTCATTGAATGATCATATTAGCTAAATAAATGTCTAATAGCTAAAACAAAAAAAATATAAATAGCATTGTAACATTGCTTGAAGAAGCCACCTGCATTTGTCTCTATCTAGTTCAACTTATTACTTCTTTTTTTGGCTTTTGCTTTAGCTCAAGTTGTGGATAAGCAAAAAAGGCATATGTGAAACACAAATATCATCTCACTCCTCAAAATATTCTTTTAATGCTCATTTTTCTGACATGGGCTGATCTTGTTACTCCAACTATAAGTTCAAGGGAGGTATCTGATATTTTGCAAAGTTCAGGGGAGGTGAGTGAGACTGTCAGAAACCTCAGGGGAGGTTTCTGAAATTATCCCTAAGTTTTTAAAAACAAAACAATAAATATTGTTAAGCAAGAACAATTTCTCTAGACATTAAGAGCTAGAGCAGCCAATAAAGCTTATAAACACCAGAAAGATTTAACATAAAGCTCCGACTTCAGCCAAAAAAAAAAAAACATTAAATGTAAATAAATTAGCTCATCTTATTTCTATTATTTTGGGAAACGTTTTATGTCGTAGGATCATCTCTTAACTTCAATCCCCTACAAAATTATTTACCAGTCAAAGTTTAGATATGCCTTGTTTAAATTAACATCAATGGAGGAAATTCTAATAAAATCATTTACCAGTCAGAATTTAGATATGCATTGTTTGAATTAGCCAAAAAAAAAAAAAAAAACTGAGTAACTGAGTTGGATTTGCAGATGTAGCAGCCATGGAGGGAATTTTGGGATGAATTGTGTAATCATGGCTCGGCATCGCTGTCAGGGACGCAATTGTTCTACAATGAATCCCCAAAATTGTAAAAATCTTAATGAAAAATATAAAATACCATAAGCATAATGATCAAATTGGCTTAGGAAAATATCAACCGGTCTCATGAACCGCTGCGGGATCTTGCTCCCTCCCTCAGCTGGATTGCGCTCTAGACTGCAGCCTATTGCTAATGGAATCTAGTGTTGTTCTTCACATCCCCTGCTCCTTCCGCACACAGCAACTCCTTAACAAATGATATATACAACCTTCACAAATTTCTATTTTCATTCTGGGATAGCATCTAATCACGAAGCATTTACATCATTACATGTACCCGTTTCTTGGCCAAGTGTCGCCGTCAAGGGAACAGCAGACAGAAAAATGCAAAATTTTCACAAAATGATTTGTCAATAAGCAAACCCAGAAAACTAGATGCACGAAGGGGGATAACGTACGAAGCTCTTCAAACAAATGGTCAAACTCTTTGCATCGTGTTTTCGCAAGACTCATTCCATTAACAAAATCTACGACGACGAATGCCAATGGAGGGCACCACAGTCAGCAAATTTATCTATATAATAAAATGT